TCAGGGAAAAGGAACACAAAGGGCGCCGGCACACAGTTTGTTGCTGACTCCACATCTACAGAGGAAAACAGAAGAATACTTTGAGCCCAATGTGGCGATGTGAAAATGCATCCCTGCAGGTATCGTTGTTAAATTCATGAACAAGGATGAAATGGATCGTTATCAGATCCAAGGATGGGAAGAATGTCAAGCAGAACGCATGCACTGTAGAAAGATGGAAATGGGTGATGTGTTGCTATAATCACGGCGAGGATTAAAAGGCGGCTCCGTGTCAGAAGTCGGCACAGATCTGAATTGGAAAATTCAATGCAGGATTCTTTTGCTTTCCTTCAGCCGTCAACTCCAGAAGAGGCGAGGTGCGGAGGGGCTTAGCATTTCATCATTCCCACAAATGGCATCAAACCAGTAAACATTTTCTAGTATGGTTTATGTAGGTTCAACTTCTCAAATAGAAGTGCATTGGTTTGCATCCATTTGTGTTTATGCACTGTATGCATTAATGCTCACGTCCGTCTGGTCCATACTTGTGTCCATGCATACTTATGAGTGTGATTATGCATGTATGAATGTATGGGTGCATGCAGCGGGTGACTGGTCAGTGGGGAGCCGAGTTTGGATGATGGGGGATGGTGATGGGATGCAGTCTGGGGGTGGACTGGTGGGGGATGGGGTGAACAGATACAGGGTGGAGGAGGATCATAATGCATCAAGTGTACGTGCGATAACAGGGATGTGAAAAGGGATATTTAACCCCCAACATTATTTTCATATTTTCACTCTTGTCTGAAGTGCTATTTATCCGTGTAGATTGTTTTGGTGTGATTTGTCATGTGTTAGGGATATTAGCCATAGAGATGTCTGGATTTTCTTACAGTACAATATATAAGTATCTTGTGTCAAAAATGTCATTTCAAAAAAATTCAACTGCAATGTGTCTTTCAAGAAATCAAGACTCGGTCACTGATTATCCACAGACCTTGTTGTTATTTTCCTGTTGGAACTGTTTTCTTTGTACCGTATCACTGCACAGAAGGGAATGTACATCTACTCTAGAATGAGGATATCTCTTGAGCTTTCTAATGTTATAGCTAAGTAAAAGAGGACAACTTTAATGTTTAGATCTTGAGTCATCAATGAGTAGAAGTGCCCTTCCTTATCTGCACTGATAGGAAAGAAAGAAAACTGCTCATAACAAGGTCTGTGGATGATCTTGAAAAACTGGGGAATTATTTATAGTAACCACAATCTGGTAGCTCTAGAGAGGAGGAAGACCTCTTCATGGCTGATATCTCCAATCCTCTGCAACTCGCACCAAATCATCACATTTACAAACAGCACTTTAGGAAAAAGGAAATCTGAATGTATACTGTACGTCCCACAGCAGGGGAATGTACAATGTTACAGCAAAGGGACAGAGCAGACAAAGACAAACTTAGGATTAGTTAAAGTAACTTATTAAGGGACCCTATTATACTGTCTGGGTTTTCCATTTCCTGTAGTGTGTTATATAGGTTTGTGTGGATATAAATGGTCTGCAAAGGCTAAAATGTGTGTGTTCCCTCCAGAGGGAGTGTCTCTCCCACACACAGGGCCACTTTAAGAGGCAAGCACTTGTTATTAAATAAAATAAATACACATCCATAGTAAAAAATAACTAGCTGCTTTATAAAAAAGTAAGTTAACATAGTAGCAAGTAGCACATAGCAGTTATCTCTCAACAGTGGTGTTACAGTAGTGAAGTAGCAACCAGTTATAACAATTGTAAGCAGTTTACATGTGAGAAAATGTGTGTTTCCAATGTTAGGGTGCACTGTGCATTTAAGACATTTACACCTGTTCTGTGAGGTTTAACTACAAGCAGCAGTCAGGTCGGAAATAAGGTGACACAGGCATGACAAATAAGCTGCGCTGCGGCAGAGCTTTTTCTCTGCATATTTCATAACCATGCTCTGTTGCACACGTTTAGTCTTTGAATTCTTGGACTTGGCATTGTGTTGTGTCAAATAATAAATTGTCAAACACAGATCAAATGGAAAGTGAGACCATGCGATCAACCATTTAGAAACTTAATTTAAAAATGTAACCACTTCTAAGTCAACGAGAAACTAAACAGTGTAATTCCTGCAGCGGATTTGCCTTTTGTACAAGTTCAATCCTCAGCACACGCAGCATATGTTGGGCAGGTTTACACTCCACTGCACTAAACTGTCTGTCCCTCTGTCTTTTAGCCTGCTCAGATGTAGAAATAGAATACACAGAAGCAGCCCCTGAGAATGACTTTAATAGGAATGCATTAATTAAATATTGCCAATGCTGCGAAGAATCTCATCTCCAAATCAAACGGGAAAAGTTTAACAACCAACGTGCTTAGCCAAACATTCGTGAAACACTACGAGGATGCAGACAAATCTGCCTGCCCACGCGGATTCAGCACACATGGGAAAAGGAACAAGTGAAGGCCACTCTCCAATATAATGCTGGACAGCAATAATCATCAAATGGTGGGTATAGTCTCATCTTAACAGGCTTTCAGGAGGAGTGTTTTCACTCAGCCCTAAATGTGTCTGGAGCTCTGTCTGATGGAAACACACAGGGGGTAATAAAACCTCGCTGACTGTTTCTTATTTCATTCATAAGAGAAAATACGGAGGAGATAAAGCCTGACTGATTTTCTCGAACATCAGGGGTCTGTGTGTGCGTGAGGCAGTGACACATGAATGTTTTAGAAGCAAAAGACGCTCTGACTTTCTTTGGCATGCCGGAGGCCTCGTCCTGCTGCCCTCAGCTACAGGGTAACAATGGCAACACCTCCAGACGAACGGAACCGTGAGGCGTTTGTATACAACCGGTGTGTGGGAGAAAAAGGACTGAAAAAAAAGACACAGTGGAGTGGAGAAATCCAGAGCATGCATGTATGCATTTGAGGGGAGGTGCAGGAATTCCTCCCGAGCCACAATTAACCCAGACACAAAAGAGAATTGTTGCACAGCAAACATGCACAGCTTGGATTCAGCGTTGGCACAACTTCACTGGTTTCAGCACAAGCATTCTTGCAGAATATAGGCCACTGGCTCGCAGTCAGAAAGGGAACTGGAATTGTATTATTACCGCACAGAACAACACATCCGAGATACCTGTCAGAGGTCTGTGCAGCAGACCGATACAGCGTGCAATCTGTCTCTCCGCTGGACAGCTACTTATTTGAAGATGACTGGGAAATGGTTCCACACAATCAACCCTCATTTAAAAAAAACATGCCTGTTGAGCTTTCTATATAAAAAGGTGATGGAAATAGGAATGAAACTCTGCACACACTCTTGGCCTGAGGCACACACGCCTAATCTCCACTGAAAACGTTGATTTTGTGAACTCTGAATGCTTTTACATCTCTCTAAAAATAAGGCACTCACCTGCATAATGAGAAAAACTATGAAAAAATGCTAAAAGGATAGCGAATCCACCATAAAAATAACACCAAATGATGGTAGGATTAAGACCTGTGGGAGATATGGGGGAATGTATGGTTCATAACTGTTAACAGTATGAGACAATACAGCTCATTAAGGCAGACGAGCTTCTATACACATTCCAGTCATGAACAGACCATTAAGTGCAGCTCTTACAGCTGATTGGAGCAGACCCAGGTATTGTGTCTTGATGAGATTAATGATCGAATTAGCATTGGAACATTTTTGATGGATAAAAACAAAATACCCTGTATATAAGATCATTTGAACCAAATCCAGGATGCCTGTATGGTTTAGTACAATTGATCTGTTTGGATGGCATTAATTACTTTTTTTTTTATTATGGGCCAACCCGGAAGTTAGCATCACAAGGCAAGGCGCTTGACGATAGCAAAGGAATTGTTCCATTGGCTTTTGGAATATTGCAGAAAATAGGATCTTTGGCAAAGACACGTTTATGATTCTGACCCCTAGATTCCACCGGGTCCGTCTGCGGCGCGTTACGGCCGCGCCACAGCGCTCACGACGATCGCGGCCACTCTAGTCAATGGGTGCTATTCCACCACACGCGGCGCGTTACGCCTCAGAAGCGTCCCAGAAGCGTCCCAGAAGCGTCTCGGCGCAGGGCTCCCCTCCTATCCCTCCGTAGTCTTTCAAGTAGGAGGAGAAATGCCAGCGTTCTCCTCCGGATTACAGGCACTGTGTAAATTATATATATATATATATATAGAATAATTATGATGATGAATGCATTTTTTTACCACTAAAATACAGCAACACATCTTTGATTCATGTCGTTTATAACTGGAATATTACAATTATTATTAACTTTGTCTGTACAAAGTAGCCTGTCCAGGAAATATGCCCAAATCAACAAAAACTGCGAGCCGGCAGGCAAGACGCTCCGCTTCTGAAATGCTTCTGAAACGCGCCTGGTAGGGTATGACGCCGGAGGAGGCCGGACCAAAACCGCGGCGCAGCCGTAACGTGGCGCAGACGGACCCGGTGGAATCTAGGGGTTAGGTGTCTTGTTCAGCAGAATATTATCCACATATTAACAGCACTTTGTGACTTTTAAGCGCAAATGCATTCGGCAGACTTTTTTTTTTTCTGCGTCCAGACATAAACAGCTAACGTTAGACTACAAACAAACTACATCATGGCCTCACCACTTCAAGTCACGACCCCTAAGCTGAAGATGGTTAATGTTTAAGTCTAATTTAAGCATTTGTTAGCAATCGCTGTCACAGAAGCTTCAGACAATCACCAGTGGGGTATTCACTGACACATTTTAAAGAGCGAAAATCTTGTGAGTTTGGGTAAACCACAGACCCTTTTTCAGGCATCCAACCAAGAATTAAAAAAAGGGAACCGGAAGTGCTAGAATGCTAACTCATTCCCGGTTTTTAGGACTCATTCCTGCACCACTCTATTGTAACAGCTTACCAAATTGGCATAACCGAGTCAGAAAATGTTCGTAACAGCAACCTGCAAGCAAAATCTTAATTTCTCTACTTTTTTTTTAACACTTACGACAGTTTTCTTCATCGCTGTTGTCTGAGCAGTCGTCATCATCATCGCACCTCCAGATGGTAGGTATACACCTTTTGTTGTTGCACTGAAACTGTCCATCCTCACACTCATCCGTTGCTGTAAGAATGAAATAAAAATAACAAGGGGGGGGGCAGGGTCCAGATGGATCAGCAACAAGCAGATATAGTAACCACATGTAGTTCAACTGTCATTTGCAAATGAATGCCTAATTGATATTCAGCCTTCATTCAGGTCAATTGGCTGAGGCGCTGGGTGCGTCATGGTCTGAGTTTTTCTTTCAGTTTCTCATCTACTTCAGCGTGATAATTAAAAGCCGCTACGGGAGAAGAAGGGGGCCCCCGTGTGTGCTGGACATAATTCTCCATAATAACATGCAGACAAAGATTCAATCTGAGCTACTACAGCTACTACAGCTGATGCAGTATGGACGCTCACAGCCGGGAAACACATGACAGAGCCATGGCGATTCACTCAGCAAACAACCTATATCATACATTTTAATCAAGAAGTTATTTTCTCATGTATTCATGATTGAAAAACGTGTCTATGTGTTTTCTTTCTTATTATCAAACGCACGCTGAGGGGGGCACGCTTCCAATCTCACCTACACAGCCTCATCACTCACTCACACACACACACACACACAAACCGCGGGTTATGATATATTTTATTAACGCCTCACACACGGGGAAAACACTACTGACCTTCCGAGAAATGAACCCTCAGGAGCAACGAATGAAAAAGTAGCAATGTCCGTATATCCGTCCACATTTCCGAAGCAGGTGATGGAGCTCATTCGCATCCACAAAACAAAGCCCGAGAGCCGCTCTCTTGTCTGGTTGTAACGCTGCGACGCTGCTGCCTGCCTCTCCGCCGTGAGACCCCCACCGCCCCGCCCCCCGATCCGTCTCATTGGCTGCAGGGGCTGTGACGACACCACGTGGGGCGGGGAGAACAGTAGAGTAGAGTAAAATAGATTAGAATAGAGTCAATTCAAGTAGATTGGTTGTATAAATACATGGATGTATAATAAGAAGTATAAATAGCATGGGCGTCGCAGCCATTATATGACAAGTCCCCCCCCACCTTTTAAAATGATTAGTTCCTGTGTGGGCAGGTGGTGGACCTAACCTCCTCTCCACAAACGGCAGAATTCACCATATACATTGGGGGGGATGTGTCCCCCCCCAATGTATATGGTGAATTCTGCCCTGGTAGGACAAGTAAAAGTCCTGCATTCAGGATGTTACTCAAGTAAAAGTACAAAAGTATTGGCCTCAAAATCTACTTAAAGTAACAAGAGTAAAATGACTCATTATGCAGATTGGTCCATTTCCGAATAATATTTAGTTTATGTTTTGATTATAATTATTGATGCATTAGAGTGTTATCAAAGCTGGTAAAGGTGCAGCTAATTAAAATGACTTTGTATTATATGAGTGTTTATATTTGACATAATTAATCAAAAAATGCAAAGTATCTAAAGGTATTAAATAAATGTAGTGCAGTCAAATTGTATTATTTCCATTTTGAATGTAGTAGAGTAGAAGTATTTGTAGCATAAAATGGAAATACTCAAAGTACCTCAAAATTGTACTGAAGTACAGTACTGAGTAAATGTACTTAGTGACTTTCCACCTCTGGCTGTATTTTATAATAAAGGGCATAAAACCCTTGTAAAATAAATAAAGCGATATACATGGCTAACAGCAGTAACATTTAACAGGCAGCCCAACTTATCAGTAGAGCAAAATAAGTACAACATAAATGTAAAGATGCATTTTGACAATTCAGACAACCTGTCTAATAAAGCAGCCTAGAGAGTGGCGAAGTCACGCCCATCTACTTCCGACCCATGGGACCTTATTTCGGAAAAATAATGTATTGAAGTCAATGGAGAGAGAAAACGTATCCTTCGATCCCGTTTGAATTGTGCCATGAATTACACATATGATGTTTGTCAATCTTAAAAAATCATTTCCATGTCAAAAAAGTCACAGTTTGTCATAAAACTGTTGAAATATAAGACTATGAAAAATACGCAACTAGAAAGACTACAAATCCCAGAGTCGCGTAAGTGATGTCACAATTGTTTTCCTCCACTAAGAGATATAAGATCAGCGCCATATAGATATAATCTATCTATATGGCGCTGGCTAAGATAAGATAACTTTAACAAGATGCCTGTGTGCTTAGTACCAGGTTGTTATCATACCAGCAATGGGTCTTGCTCGTTCTTTCGCTTCCCGTCTGATGAAAGGACCAGGAGTGTCTGGATCAAGCTAGCTAGTAGCTAGCACGTTAGTTAGCATTACAGCCTTGTCATTTGTATTAGCCTTAACATGAAGTAACATTAAGTAACCCAAAATGTTAAACAGTAACAGTAGTAGTCATATTTCGTGAACCCTTTGAATAGTACTGTCACCGGTGTGATCATTCTATAATACACAATTTAAGCCCGGGGGAGAAATGCTAACGCTAACGCTAGCATCGGCGATCTTCGGTTGACATTAAACATTAAAACAACCAGGCAGTTCAGAGAGAATCAAAGGAAGGCAGGCAGGCAGCTTTGCATGACATTCTTCAGGACGTGTTTCATTGTGGTGATAGTGAGGGTAGTCAATCGTTTTGTTGACAAGACAGTAGTGACGGCCATCCTGGTGACGTGTGTTGCTCTGTGAGACCAGAGATGTAGCTCATTGAGCGTTTCACACAAACAAATGTGTTACTTCACAGTTTTACGACACGTTTTTTTTTTTTGACTTGCAAAATTATCCTTTAAATTGACAAACATCATATGTGTAATTCGTGGCACAATTCAAACAGGATCGAAAGATAATCTTTCTCTCTCCATTGACTTCAATACATCATTTTTCCGAAATAAGGTCCCATGGAGGTCCACCGGAAGGGGAGGGACTTCGCCACTCTATAGAGAACCGCAGTGACGCGTCCTAAAACCCGGAAGTAAACTCCTTCCGGTTCCTTCGTCAAAAACGCAATGCAATTTCTCCATAGGATTTTGGAAAATAGCTTGAAATAAGGTCTGTGGACACACATTTAAGAGACGGATCACGTTTTGTTCTGCTGGATTATATCCACATGTCTACCCTACTTTTATAATTTTCTAATCATAAATCTAGTCGCCAGAAGCAAAATGCTAACGTTATGCTATAAACGAACTACAGCAGGGTCGCTGCTTCAACGTCACGCCAACTTAAGATCCATATTCAAACATACAGATTCTAAATGGTACAAGTTGAAGCGTTTGTTTGAACAGTTTGCAGGAGGCAGGTACTTGCTTTCAAGCAGAACAGGGCAAACAAACTTAGCGGGAGTGTTTTACGTGTTCGGTGTAATGACGTAAAACGGCCTGGACAACTTCTGTAGTCCTATTCAGCCACATGTTAACAACCATCGTTTTTCAGACACGTAAACTCTTCAAAAATCACCAGCGGGGTCACTGCTGATGTATTTAATGTCGTAGAACAAAACGTGATCTGTCTCTTCAATTTGTGTCAAACACAGACCTTATTTCCAGCTATTTTCCTATAGTATAGTATAGTGTGTTGGCTATCAAGAAACTACAGCTGTACATATATAAAAAATGTAGGCTGCAACTTTGTGCATGTGAGAAAATGAGAAAGTGGGGTCCTATGGTTATCCATGTCACACCCACTGAGCCAGTGAAATCAATTTCTGAGCATGACAGACAGGTAATAGTGGTACAGCGGTGGGGACTAGCAGAAGCAGGTAGCAAGGGATCAGGAGGTCAAGCAATTATGTGTCCCTCCCTGTGGAGATTTTGTGTTCACATTGGGTGGACACATTTTGAAAAGTAGCTAGCTGTCTACTCAGTGACGTGGCAGTCGATCCACACTACTTTGTAACAATATCTTAAATCCTTAATGAAAATGAGCATGAGAAAGAGGCTTTACTGAGGCAGAAACCAGCGCTCTGGGCTCCACCTGTTTGAGCATCTACACAAGTCTCTTATGGTACCGTATCCTGTTCAACAAGCCCTTTATTAATATACCCTCAACGCAATAATGTTATGTGATTCTCATCTATATGCAAATTATGCTAAGGTGAACCGCAGGCTATATGGTTTTCTCAGTGGCAGAAGCAACAGGAGAAGGCCCCCCTGTACCTCTTTCATTAACCAAACTGCAGCGTTATTGTTGCTCTTACGAACCACAATCAGGTAGCACTCGTCGGCAGATAAAAGTGCATGAGTGGTATTTACAAGGTCTGGTGGCTGCCAGCCAAACAAGGCTGTCTTTCAAATCTAGGCCACAATCCAAAGCTGACAGCATTATCAGTCATTTTAATGGAGATAAGCTTAAGGATAACTTAATCCTCCTCTCAACCTCGACATATTGTAAATACACAAGCAAACACATATATGTAGTTGCACATTTCATAGTATGCACCAGCACCACCAATAAAGTCGTGGCACTAAGAAAAAAACAGGATACTTGTGGCCTGTTGTCATCGTTGCAAGGCAACCACGAACAAGATGAGGCAGTGGTTGTTGAACAGGTGTTCAAATTATGAATAAATGTCTAAAAATGAGCCTTTTTGAAATATCAGCCAATGTAATATTAGCTTGTCCCAAACACATTTTAATTGGTCACAATGACTTGTGACCAGTGTGTTTACACAAATAAATATTCCTACAGAAACATCAAGTTTCTCCCAAGACAAAAGCGACAACATACACCAAGTTGTCAGGCAAATGATTTGGGAATTGCAAAACTAATGATTTTTTTGTTTACATTCCTATCTCCTTAGGGTGTATGATCCCCAGCATGCAATCTATGAAACATGTGACCAGCTGCTCATAGTAATAGCTCACATGCAGTACTGTACGTTCTGCACTTGGATAGTTAATTATATGTAAAGCACATTATGTGTTATCATTCGTGCCCATGTGCAAGTAAAAACTATAGCGATGGATAATTGATGAAGCGCAAGAAATGTTTTTGGTTTGGTTGCAAATCAGATTTTTACCCATCAGAGATAACACACACTAAATTGAATTTACAGTCAATTTGCTGCAAGGAGTGAGTCATGAAAATGCTTTTAGCACACTGAGGATTAGGCAGGAGGCAGAGGGAGGGAGGCTGTCAATCGACTAAAATATGCAAATAGTGGGAAATACTTGAGAGTACATTTTGCATGCATTACAGTACATTGACCATGGTGCTGGAGTGCCCTGTCCACTAGTCTTTTTTCCTCACTACCAAATGTCCTGTGCCTTGCATGCCTCTGAAACAGACAGCTGCCCTAGTTTTGACCTTGCTGTAACTGGGCAAGCCACGTATGAAAATAGTGTATATAAGAGCGACAGAAAGAAACACCCACTCACTTTACACTCATGAAAAGCAAAGTGATTATTTTTTCAACATGTAGGCCTTTTCTGCTTTTATTTGACAGAAGACAGTGTAGAAAATGGGTGAGAGGTGTGACATGCAACACAGAACTCAAGGCCAGTATTGAACTTGAGAAATCACAGTCATAGGGTATGAGCTGTAACCACTCGGCTTACAAAAGCCTATCTATGGTTTGGAAAACACACTAAAGGCATTCAATAAATAAGTAAATAAAAGCTGTATATTGATTTAATAAAATAACAAGACTAAGAGTCCACAGCATTTCTAACAGTCTTTCGAGCTAAATGCTAATGAAAGATGCTCAAAATAAAAATGCTTATATGATAATATATAGCTATATAATGCTACAGTGTTTACCATCTTGTTGAGCGTGTTAGCATGCTTATATTTAGCTGATATGAAAACGTTCTGCAATGGTATAGTAGGTTCACCATATTTCTTTTTGCGTGTACTGTAAGCATGCTAACATTGGAATAGCAATACATTTAGCAGGTATTTTGTTATAAACCAAAGTTATGGACCAGTTACATTTCTTGACTTGATGATGGCTCTAGATGTTTGTACTAATTTCAAAAGGCAATGAGAAAACCACGCCAACCCTGCCAGTGGTACAACGGGAAAGTCAAGGGATCGTTAAAGACATAGGGTTCATCCTCTTGGGACTCTGTCAGGGTAAATGTTCATGTTCCAAAGTATTTACAAGTTATATGTGAAGGGGTGACTGATAAGAAGTGTGTGACCTGTCATGCAATAACTGTCTACATCACGACAAATTGATAGACAGCAGGTGTACACTGTAAAACATTTTCCTTGTTATCTTGCAGGGTACAGCACATCAACATGATCAATAATCACTCAAGCATTTTGACAGAACAGATAAGAAGCCACTTCATCAGCCCTATCTCTCTGCCTGAGTGACCTCCATTTTTGCAAGGGTTCATCATTTTGGAGGAAAAGGAGAAGTAGAAAGTCAATATTACAACGGTTTGTATAGGGGTCTTGAAAGTTGGCAGCAAATAGTTTTCATTTGTCACAGCAGCCAGTCTGGAAAGTGTGCCACATTTTCTCAACATTACGTATTCAAGACAAGCTGCCAAACAGTCACAGCCATCATTGAAATCTGCACTTTGCATTTCAGTGTGACTTCTACTCCGTTCATGTTTCTTATTTAATTAACCTTTAGGGAACATTTTCTGAGCGTGCATACTGTTTTTCCTTTTCTTCCCCCAGCTGTTTTCTGATCTGCGCTGTCACAGCTGCAGGAAGTAGGTGTTATGGTTCAGTTACAGTGTAGCTATCCACTGATGGCCTCTGAGCGCTGAAGCAATTAGGTTTTTCATACCTTGCCTGAGAACACCTGAGCAGCTGCATTTCAGAGATGAGAGAGCCACTTTTGCCCGGTGTCCTCCCACCTCCCACCAGCTGGTCGGTGGAACAGCGTTCTCTGATCATAAGCCCTGTTTGTGTAACCCAGTGGTGTGCGACTGTGAGATTATTTCATCCTCTCTGGTTGATGTTGCACCTGTCAGAAAATCAGCTGCTGGAGTAGTGGGCCAGAATGAGAATCTGTTCACACAGATCTCTCTACGGCACATCATTGGCCACCACTTTGTCAAGCAGAAGAGCGGACTGCGTTTTCTGAGCACATTTGACATATTAGCCAAATGTTTATCACGTACGTAGCACCAATCCTAATAATATTGAATAATTTAAAAACACAATTATTAAACTGTATCTTACATGTGTGTACTGTATGTAAGCAATGTTTTTGCTGTGGTGAAATTTGAATCTATTTACTGTTGTTAACATAAATCACTTAACACCAAACTGTGACATTTCATACAGGATAAAATGTTAAAACATTGCAATGTCATTCAGTCTCTGTCATGCAAATTCTACTTTATAAGAAAGAGTCCTAAAGAAAAAATAACTATTGACGCTATCCTTCCTCCCTAGCTTTAAACCCCATATAGAGTTACTTACTTGTATGATCAATTTATTTCTAATAATTACCTATTTCAAGAGCCACAAAATGACTTTTCCAGTCTTTCTAAAAAAAAAAGTAATTCATATTAGATCAACCTCAAACAGCAGCAATGGCAAAATGAAAATTACATTCACTTTTAATCATTTTTTTTTTTAGACTTTTACTCAAAATTGAGTATTTTTAAATTGAGGTATCATTACTTCTACAAGATAAAATCTAGAGCTATATCTAAAGACTTCTACTGCCTGTACTGGACAGCCTTGTCTTGTATTCAGGCTTCAGTCCAAATTTGGATGCTGCTGCCATCTACAGGATGATCATTGGCATCAATCATGAATACTCATATTTTACATTGTTCTGTTGAAATATTATTACAGTAAAAGGGACATTTTAAATTACAGAACCTACCACAAAAACAAAAACAAAAAACTTTGTATATATACCTGCCACATTTAAATGCATGTAGTCAATTTTGTTCTGCCCAAATGTTTCCCCCGTTTTATTGACACTTCCTGTTGAAAATCATAAAAACATTTATATTATATTTGGACATTAGAAGATGTAAAGATGATAATTAATTCAAAAACGTGTCCATACACATAGACTTCACGTACACTTCTTTATGCCAGAAGAAGTCTATTAAAAGCAGAAGACATTTTATGCTTGGGAATATATAATAAATGTTGATTATTATTTACATTCATTCATCCATCATTCTGGAGTCTCCCAGAATGCAACAGGCATCCATATGGCTAACAAATAGCTAAATACACACATTAATAAGGTGGTGCCAAATAAATGACATGAAAAAAGACATGAGCATCTTTTTTGCTTGATTGCTAGAATAACTGCTATTTTTAATTATATGAGGGCAGTATTAATAACAAATGGACATTGTAATTTGCAACATGGTGAAACAAACACCAAAAGCCCTGCTACAGTTGCTTAGTAACTGTACTTATTGATGGCACAGCAAACTATACAAGATGATACAAGGTTTAGCAAAAACAACTAATAATATTTATTATATTAAACAAATATGCCCTGGCTTGTGTCTTGACCTGTTAAATGTTGCAGCTGCAAGGAGTTGTGGGACAGCATTATCTCATTTTCAGTTGTAAGGATGGTCCAGTGTATCATTTGCTAAAGGGGGTATTAAAGGTAGGATTAAAAACCCTTTCCTAACAACTAAAGAATTCAAAGAGCTTATCATGGCTGCCATGTAGGTACTTCTGGGTCATATTATCCATGTAAGGAACCTTCTTAAGCAAAAAAAAAAACACTATTCGACTCGAACGCAACCCAGAACCAGGTTCCCAGCATACCTTGGCTGCTGATCTCCAGCTGAGACACTCCTATCTCTCCACCAGCAGCAGGCGCCCTAACCACACAACACTGCCACTTGGGAAAATCAGAACATCTCTAAGGTTGATAGCCATGGAGGAACAACATCTAAACATTTTGATAATTCGGCAGCACAGTTCACAACTTTTTATCTTGGTAGCGTTGGCCTGGATTCACTTCAAAAACAGCTGGACTATGACCCTGCCCAGCCCACAACAATTAGTATTTTTAAGTACTGGTATGCACTAGTGACGCGAGTGCAAGGTACACGGTTGTGGCTGTTTTCAAATGTTATGTGACCACTTTCAACAAACACTCTCCAGCCACAATTGTCACTGCAGGAGTTAGTACACTCTGCATTGATCTATGACTCAATATGGGTGATTCTTACAGTAACTGCTGACCACACCTACTTCAGACAATGCAAGCAAAATTCTGTATTCCCATCAGATTACTGTTACATTTCTAAAAACAATTATAAACTGGATTACAAAAATTGTCACTAAAAAACTAAAAAGAGCGTATTGGGTTTGTTGTAAAAGGATCAGATTGTATTTCTTCTCTGTAAGCTGTACTGTAGGCTAATACTTTAAGTAAATCTATACGCCTACTGCCTGAATCTGCTGTATGGTGTTCACTTTCTTTGTTTCAGTAGCTCAACCTATATTGAATAGTGTGTGTGGGGCTCAAGTGTCGATTCAACTAAATGAAAGGCAGGTTTTCCTATAAATACAATCTCTGAGCAGAAGACACATTTTAGATAATAAATATCTTGGTTTCTTCTTTTGTAAGGTCACATTGTTCTGTTTTATAACATAATTCACTTAAGTAAAAAACATCACATAGATATTTATTTTCTCATGTATTTATTATAATTACATTCAATAGTGAGGTTATCCAAAAACAACAATACGTAATTAGGTTACAATAATTGTACATGTTGATAGTCAGATTACATTTTTTACAGGTAACTAGTCAACAGAATACATTTTAAAAGTAAGCCTCCCGCAACTTTGATCTTCACTGGTAATGTTATCGAAGATGTCCTTTCAAGTTAAAACCAAAACGGTTGCATTAGTGCTTTAATGCTTAAAAAGGTCTTTCTTTTTCTCATACTGCCTGTGCTGCAGCACCTCTTTTCACCCTCTGTCTGAAACCAGAGGCAAGTCTGCTCTGATTGGTTAACTCTGTTGTAATTGGTCATCCGCTTAGAGATGTCCCGCCCCTTAGCATCACAAACAATATGTTGAAGAACCAGCCAATAGTAGCGGGAATGTTACGTAAACAAAGGAGTACAATCGAGGCATTTCAGGCATAAAAGCATAATAGGACCCCTTTAAATGATTATGTTACATTAAAGTAAAACAAAATATATGCGTGCCAGCCTCCCTGGACTACCAACTCTGCTGTGATTCTTCAGAACACACAGATGGATATTATTCAATGAAATTAAATTAAATTAAATTAAATTCAAGTTTATTTATATAACCCAAAATCACAAATCCTATTTGTCTCACAAGTCAACAAACAAAATTGGCAATGTAAAACAATGTAAAAACAACAAACATAATTTAAAAAGGAACATAACACAATGACACAAATACAGTTAGAGTACAATACAATTCCATAAAACGAAGGGTCCATGAGGATGTATGAAAGGGGGTTTAAAACCAGTCTTAACTGTATGCTGTACTAAAGAGGAAAGTCTTTAACCTACTCTTAAATGTGTGGACTATATTATTATTATATTAGATATGAGGCCAACTCTGCTACGTGTCTCTGTGTGTGTATCCAGACCGACTAACACTTCAGCCATAGAGTTTTTCTCACCGGGAAGAGTCTGGCTGTGAGGTAGTGCGGTCTTCTTTCAAACGGAAGGTTGTGGGTTCGCAGCTGCAGTCATCATGTGGATGTATGCTTTGGCAGAATACTCAACCCCAAGCTGCTACTGATGGCATGGCCAATGTAGGAATGTCCATTACAAGTCTGTAGTGTGTATGCATGGGTATTCCTAACTGAGAAATATATAAGATAATAAATACGATAGAGACAACATCAGCACCACTATGCAGTATGTGTATTTTCTTCTCTTATAATGGTACTCCTCTTGCAGATTCCTGTAGTTGACCTTCCACTCCTCCAGGCTCTGTTTATCCTCTTCATGTATTCGTTCCCAGGTGTCCTTTCGCTCCCTATTCCAGGACTCTTGATCTCTCTTGACCTCTCTTCTAATCTGCTCCAGTTTCTTTGCATACGTTTCATTTTGCTCTCTTTCATACTGAACCTTTCCCTCTAACGCATCCAGTTTTCTTTTCCATTCCTGTCGCGTAGTGTCTTCCTGTTTCTTCCGTCCCCTTTCATCTTCCTCCCGTTCTTGCTTTCTCTTCTCACGCTCCTTGTTGATGCTTTGGTCCTTCTCCTTCAGCTGTTTTTCCCCCAGCTTTCTCTCCTCTTCTTTCATTTTGCGCTCCAGTGTTTTCATGTCATCTTCGTGTTTTCTTTGCAGGTTCTCCTCCTTTCTCTTCCTTTCTTCTTCTTTCTCCTTCAAAATCCTCTCCACTTGTTTTGCTGTGTATCCCTCGGTGTAGCAGCAGCCGCCATTTTCCTTCTCCATGGTCTCGATCTTGGTCAGCAGCTCCCTGACCTGCGTGCCCTCTGTGTCACCTTCGTTGAAGACCTGGTACCTCCCTCGACAGTCATTGATGAGTTTTTTGACAAAGCCACCACAGACGTCGGCATAACTCTCAGATAACTTATCTTCAGGTTCCTCTCCTCTGGTGAGTATAATGATGATGGAATCTTGAGACTTCTTGCCAAAATATTTCTTGATCAGTTCCACTGAGTGTTTTTCCTCTTGTGTAAGGTTTCCAATCTGCAGCACCAGTAAGAACACATGAGGTCCAGGAGCCAATATGCTGAGGCATTTTCTAACCTCTCGTCGGAGCTCATCATCAGACAGAGGTGTGTCAAACAAGCTAGGTGTGTTGACCACAGCGACAGATCGTCCATGAATCTCTCCTGTTGCTCTCTGGCACATGGTGGTCACACACTTCTGGGGGAAATGTTCTTCACCCAAAATGGTGTTTCCAATTGTACTCTTCACACCGACAGCCTTCCCGATCAGTACCATCCTGAGACGCTCTCTTTCGTCATCTTCTCCCATCTCACTTTTCTTTCTTGCTTTAAGTGTTCTGTTAGCGTTATCCAGCTCTTCAACCTTCTTCATCTGAGCCTTAGTGAACATCGTCATCGTGAAGCACCTGGATCCTTCAACTCTCGTCTGTTCCACAGCATCCAACAGCTCTGGGATCTGCTGCTGGTCCTTGATGTTGAGAACAGCATATCTTTCTCCACAGCTCTGACAGAGCTCCTGGATGTCTTTGTTTTCCTGTATAAAGTCAACGACCGCTGGAGCTGTGGGATCTGTCTCCACGGTGAACAGAATCATGGTGAAGTCGTTGACTTGAGAGCTGAATGTGTTCTGGATGGTCTCTAACTCTCCCTTGTCTTCATCAGTGAGGGGACCCACAGGTAGGACCAGGACGAAGGCATGGACGCCCTCAGGATCACAAAGGGAGATGCACCTGAATGATTCCTCCATCACTTCCTGCTGAGGTCTTCCGCACAAGGCAGGCAGCTGCACCAGGGAAACCCGGCGTCCACACACCTCTCCCTGATGTTTAACACACTCTGATGAGTTGGAGGCTGAATGGAGCTCTGTCTGACCTAAAATGGCCTTGGCTGCTGAAGTCTTCCCTGCTCCTCGCCTCCCACACAGAACCAGGTTTAAAGCTACTTTGATGCATTCACACTTTATCATGATCAAACCTACATCCTCAACATAAAATTCATTGCCTTCATGGTGTCCAAAGATCTCCTTTGTAGTTTGACCCAGACGTGTTAACAGCTCTGACTGGTCAATGTCAATGTTCTGCCTCAAATATCTGTTTCTACACTTTGCAATCATGTCTTTTAAGAGTGGATGCTGCATAAAATCCATGACACCTGAACTCTCCTCTGTGGGTGGTGATATCAGAATCAGTGCATGATCAAAAGATTGATCACCAAAGAGTTCCAAGACTCTGCAAAGTCTCAGTTTGTAATCCTCAGTGAACTCTTCAGGCTGTAGAAGCAGCAGGAACACATGAGGTCCAGGATCAGAGAGGCTCACACAGTCGTTCACATACTCTGTCAGTTTGTTTTCAGAGATGTTGGCGTGCAGCAGATCTGGGGTGTTGATGAGAACTATCTCTTTTCCTTTCAACTGCCTACTGACTTTCAGACAGCGGTCCGGTTCTTCTTCAGTGTCAAACACAGTCTTTCCTAGTATGTAGTTCCCCACTGAACTCCTCTCACACCAGCTGTTCCCCAGCAGAACAACCCTCAGCTCAGACACTGAAAATAAAAACACAGAATTAGAAGAATAACTCTAACTAAATACTTAAAGAGAACATATTATGCACATTGTTAAGGTACATTTGTGCCTCTACTGTGCCATTTTTACATGCTCAAATTTTTTTCATACTGCCTGTGCTGCAGCACCTCTTTTCACCCTCTGTCTGAAACCAGAGCCCAGTCTGCTCTGATTGGTTAGCTGGCCTGTTGTCTGTCTGCCCCTTAGCCTATAAAGTACACTGTGTTTGAGTGCTAGCTAATAGAAGCGCGAGTGTTACTAAGTGACGTCATTATGTGACAGAAGTAAACAAAGCAGTCCAATAGAGGCTTCTCAGGCAGAAGGGGGGGGGGGGCGGGGGGAAGTGTGTGGGAGATTCTCTCCCACACACAAATTTTGAATTGTAGCTTTTGCAGACCATTTACATGCACAAAACCCTATATAACACTCAGGGATCGGCAACCCTAGGCACGCGGTACCGTAACCAGTGGCACACTAGGAATAAGTGGAATAAGTGTGCAAAATATTTAAATTGTATTTTCGGATCCTGAACGAGACCACCGCCAGAGCGCGACTCCCCGTTACCTGCAGAAGGAAGCCATGCACGCCATGCACGCAACGCAGCGCAGAAGGATAACTTCTAGGCCCCGCTCTCTTTAATGGTGAAACGATCAGGGGTGTAATGCTGCCGGAGCACGCCGGAGCGCGCCGGGGAGCGCCGCACCGGAACGCCGCTCCAGCACTTCACAAATTGCAGTACCCATAAGGAGCAGTACACATGCCGCAGTGTGTTTAGTTGAAAGCCCAGTGGCGATCTGCTCATCTGTCATCGAAAATAATATGCTACACAGGGGCGGACTGGCCATCTGTGTGTTCTGGAGAATCACAGAACGGCCGGTCGTCAGGGGGCCGTTGACGGCCGGCTCGGTTCGCTGACGGCCGGCACCGCCCTTTATTTAAATTTGTTTAAACGGCATCATTTAAGTTGCGCTGACAGGCGAAAGAGGTCCACAGCTTCCCCGCACACTCGCCCCCCCCCCCCCCCCCCCCCCCCCCCCCCCCCGCCCTCCTGTTGACAGTTCATGATGAAGTGACAGTTTTAAAGGTGGACTTGAGTAATTGTGTCAGCTGTTATCATCCTCAACATGCAAAATCCCCAATGATCTTGCAAATATTAAACTAAAACAAAGATGTTGTACCCATAACCTACTCCCCCTGTAGTTTAGAAGGTAATATACGAAGGGAAAGTTGTGACTTAGTTCAGTTCAACTCACTGTTAGGTGGCAGCCATTGATAGCTGCGGTTCCGATTCACAGGTAGCAGATGATCTGACACTATAAGAATACAGAACATTCACATTTGATTAAAGGGTGTATGCCAAGTGTTTTATTGACTGGTTCCATTATTGTGAATGCACCTTGATTAAAACAGACTCAGTTCAGTTAAACTCACTGTCAGAGACCACCGCCAGAGCGCGACTCCCCGTTACCTGCAGAAGGAAGCCATGCACGCCATGCACGCAACGCAGCGCAGAAGGATAACTTCTAGGCCCCGCTCTCTTTAATGGTGAAACGATCAGGGGTGTAATGCTGCCGGAGCACGCCGGAGCGCGCCGGGGAGCGCCGCACCGGAACGCCGCTCCAGCACTTCACAAATTGCAGTACCCATAAGGAGCAGTACACATGCCGCAGTGTGTTTAGTTGAAAGCCCAGTGGCGATCTGCTCATCTGTCATCGAAAATAATATGCTACACAGGGGCGGACTGGCCATCTGTGTGTTCTGGAGCCATCCATCGCTGCTGCTCTGTTTCACAGGTGGCGGATCATCTGACCCTATAAGAGTACACAACATTGATACATTCACATGTTTTCTTTAATGTAAGGGAACATGCAAGGGTTTTATTAACTGTTTCCAGTTTTGTGAATGAACATTTTTTGTCAAAAAGACTGCAGCAGCAGAGAGGCAAAAAGCTAAAGTGAAAATATTGATTTTGTGTGTAATCCATCACAGTGAACTGCAGGTCCACAGAATGGTACTATAGTAACAATGGTTATAATACATACACACGTACATAAATACATCCATCCATTCATCCATCCATCCATTCATACATCCATCCATACATACATACATACATACATACATACATACATACATACATACATACATACATACATACATACAAAAACAATTAGAAGAAATGGACATGGTGCTCTTAAATTACTTTTAAAGCAGACGACAGGATAAAGTCTAAACTCACCTGTTGCTGCTGTCTCCATAATGTCACTCTGCAGGACACATCAGAGACTGATTCCACTGGACACCAACTGCTGGATTTGAGAACATATGGAGAGAAAAATATAAAATCATTTGCTACTGCCCCCTGTTACATCAGTTAACCTGCCAACACACGCTAACAAGAACACATTATGTTTACCTTCCTAGCAGCACGTTCATTGAACTTAAGCTAATCATTCATCTTTATCACCAAGTAGTTGGACATTTTTACTCTTTCAATGTGACATTGTTAACCTTGGAGAGTGGGACTTATCCTTTAAAGCCATGTGTCCACATAGCATCTATTTCTGTCAGAAAGACGCCGGGAAAAGCATGGGAGAATCCAGGAGGGGGCCCACGGGGGGCCAATGCCCATGTTACATTGAGATTTGACTGCCCTGTGACCCCCCTTTCTAAAGAAGAGTCTATGATAATACCATTTGTAATACTGTTGCAGCAAAGACTGTGCTGTAACTTGAGCCGAAGGTGTCGAAATACATGTATGTTCTGATTTTAAAGTCTTATTTGTACTGTGTTTTTGACACAAGTTATTTGAAAAATAATGGGATATGTCTCCCCCCTCTCATACAATAACTGGCTACAGCATGCCCCCCTGGTGAAATTGACCTAGAACTGCCACTGTAGAAATGCTTTCTTCAAGCGTTTAATCTAAATAAACTATGACAACAATATCTTTACAACATTCATCGCTATTATATGACAGACTAGAAATCCCCTTATGTTTTATTATATATTTGTGCTACTGTACATTTGTTTGACATCGTTTTTTTTCCATGAGCAACAACCAAAAGATACACTTTGAATGAACATCGCAGAATCCAATCTGCTCCCACTAACGGGCTTATTTGGTCTTCGCTATGATAGTTTCTCTCTGAAAGACACAGCCAAAAACAAGCTTCACCATCAATGTATCTTTCTGAAAGGCTTCTCTTATTCATGTGAACATACCTGAATTCGATGCTGTTGTCTCTGGCGGTCTGCCGCAGGTTTTTCAACAAACGATAAGGGAGAGTCCAGCCGATGCCATCCAATTATTTAAGTTATAGTGGCAGTTACAAGCTGTGATTGGTCCATATGATAACCAGGCCTGGGTAGTGAAAACATAGAAAATAGTTTAAAACACAATGATGTGGCATTTATTACAAATGACCATAAATAAATAAAAAAAGCCATTTACACTTAAGTCATGTACAATTAAATGTTCTCTTTGTAAAAGTGAATTTGTTGAATCAACTCTGAAGGAAAACAGCACTAAAGTAAACTGTTACTTTCATACCAGCACCGTAAAGTAAAGGTTAATGCACAGCAAGGAAGTACTCATCTCAACATCAAAAAATGTAAAAGTAGAAGTATTCTAGGAATTACAACTAAAAGTCCTGCATTCAACATGTTACTCAAGTAAAAGTACAAAGGTATTCAAAGTACTCTTTATGCAGATTGATCCATTTCAGAATAATATATATGATATGTTTAATTATAATATTGATGCATTAAAGTGTTCTCAAAGCTGGTAAAGGTGCAGCTAGTTTGAATGACTTTGTATACTGCAGGGGAGCTTGTGAATTTACTCCAGGTGGAACTAAAGTCTGATTTAAGTGGTGATTATATTTCACATCATTAATCCAAATCTGTAAAGTAACTAAAGGTATTAAATGAAGCTCAGCGCACGTTCTTTCAGGAAGACTTACACTCTCATTCTCACATCCTCTCGCCCTTTCTTTAGATAAGCAAGGATGCATCACACCCCCAACTAAACCAATCAGACTCATCTCATCTCCCACAAACCAATCACAGCGCATCTGGCACCTTTTCAAATCTGCTTTCTTCTCCCCTGTCAGCTGTCATTTAAGGAGAATCGATGCAGCCCTCCTCTTCCACCCTGTTCACCTCCAGGCCCAGGCCAAGCCCAGAAGAACTCTCATCACTCCAGATCTTCATTATTCCCTTCAGCTCTTCACCACCACCAGTATTTATTTTACCACGGCAATAAATATTGAAAGTTATCTCACTAAACAAACTTGAAGTCTCTCCTGATTTAAATAAATGCAGTGGAGTAAAGGTACATGATTTGCCTTTGAATTGTAGTGGAGTAGAAGTACAAAGTAACGTAAAATGGAAATACTCAAGCACAGTACAAGAAAGTATCTCAAAATTGTACTTAAGAACAGTACTTGAGTAAATGTCCTTAGTTACAGTTACCCACTGTTTACAAACTATTACTGACTCACTGAGAGCTGAGAGCAGGGCCGGTTTTTGGCATAGGCGACATAGGCGGTCGCCTAGGGCGCCAGATCTTAGGGGGATGTTGGTTTATCAGGCGCCCGCAGCTCACAGCCAAAGTGCGAGTGAGCGTGGGAGTGAGCGAGGGAGAGAGAGAGAGGGTGCACCGGTACCGGCGCTGTTGTTGTTAGCATCTGGTGCTAGCTGCTCTAACAGATATAAGAAGAAGATGTTTCTACAACAAGGGTGGAGGCTGAGAGGCTCAGTGAGGTAAAAGACTCTGAGTGTTTAGATAGTTAACTTTAGTCTAAGTTGTCTCAGTGGGTCTCAAAAGTTTTGATCACAATTTATGTAAACAAATATTTCCAAGGCACTTCTTTATAATTATTGGGATAAACAGGTTTGAAATGATTTCAATGTATACTATAGGACAGTAAACCAAAAATATCGTTTAAAACTGTAGAGCCAGCTAAAATCTCGCCTAGGACATCAAATTGGCTAGAACAGGTGTTGTGTCAAATTATGCACCCCTCATGAAATGCACCCCCTGGCCTGCCGTAAAAAGCACCCCCCAAAAAAAGATGCTTCTATTAATCCCACCCTCAAGCACTTTGGAGGGTATAGTTGTAGGACTAGTACCAATAAATGGAGCAAGTTTCATGTATGTGACACGTTTATTGTCAGAGATAGCAAGGGGTGCATATCGTGGCAACCAGGCTGTTCATAAAAAGCACCCCCCAAAATAAAAAAAATTCTATTAATCCCACCCTCAAGCACTTGATGTAAAAATAAACAATACATTGTAAAGCACAAGTACAACCAAAGGTATACAGACAGGACGTCACAATTAAATAAAAACATATATTAAATAAAATATTAACTGAATTATAAGTGACGAATGAATGCAAAATCCAGGATTCGACCACCCAACCATCAAAAAGACAACATAGAATAGCGGACTATACATTCAAATGCGCGTTCCCGTGTCAAGGGGTGCATTTCACGACGGGGGTGCATAATTTGACACAACACCGGCCCTGGCTGAGAGCAAAGAGAAGACACACCTTCATACTCACAAACACTTAAATCAGACAAGGTAAATTAAAACGGTAGGCCTATACACATTTTAAAAAGAACATTTTAAAACCGTGTAAAGTTATTTTCTTTGTGGTTTATAAACCTGAACTCATCTCAAGCTTACTTGCGTCATCTCTTCTATGTTTTACCTTACAGGAGATGTAGAGTACATTGAAGGAAACCAGATGCTTCTTTTATGTGCACTATTAACATGTCGTTCTTTAAAAAGTTATTAAACCGTCTGAATGAGAGAGAAACAACACAGTAAAATAACGTGCCGCTTCCTTCTTTTGTGATATCTGAAATGGCGGTTGAACATTTCATTTGGCACTACGACATGAACATTTGTCAGTCGGTTCAGTAAATATGTTAATCTCCGATTTTTTAAATAAAACAACCACTGAATAAAAACAGCACTTCTCGGTTCATAGTGCAACACAGAACATCATGTTTTGTTGTAACTGATAGTTCGTCTGTTCCTGCTTCAAACACATAAAAAGCCCGTAAAAGTGGCTACATAAAACACGCTGTTGCATTGCAATACATTAAACATACAGTAAAACTACATTGTTCCAACACAAATCTATTATGTGAATTATGAATTGGAAATGGGGGACCCTGATGTAAACAAGACGAAAGTCTTTCTCTGGTCTGCATCCCCTTAACAATTGTATGTTTTGAGCTGTACTGTACTGTACCCAATATACAAGCTGTTAATAAACTTTTCAATCAATCAATCAATGTCTGTATTATCAACCCTATTGATCCAGATTCAGTCATTTTACTTGATTAGCTTATTTTTTCTAACTCACCTCCTTTAATTCTTGCTGCGACATACTGTAGGGACGAAAGTGAAAGTATAAGAAAGTTCCGTGAATAAAAAAATAAAAAAGTCTCCCAGCAGCAAAATATGTTTTTTTCAAGCCAGTGGTTGAAAAGGTATTCCTATTCTTTATTTGAGTAAAGGTACAAATACCACCCTGTAAAAATACTCAATTTCAAGTAGCCTACTGCATCGAGAATGGTACTGAGAAAAACTTTTTGTACAAGTAAAAGTATTTAAGTATGATTAGGAAAATGTACATTGAGTATTAAGGACAATATTACATCACATTTGTAGAAGAAGCTTAAACTTAAACCATCTGGTTTCTGCAGATGGACCTCTTAAAGTGCATAGATAATTCTCCCCATATGTTCTTACTGTGTCATATAGGCTATATAAACATGGACCACAGTAACAAATATTACCAAAGTGACATTTCTGAAATATTAAATGAAAATGAAAGGAAATGGTTGCAGCATCCTGTCCACCCTTATAAATGAACATGACTCCAATTAGTTTGATTGTTTAAAACAATTGAAATGAAAATAACTGCAATAAACGCATAACCTTTTAGGCCTACATATAAACCACTGTGTGGATCACAATAAAAAAAATGTTCTAATAAACACCACCCATCCCAGTAAACACCTGGAAATGTAGACATGTTTGGACAATTATGAGCGTGAAGGGGATTTACAACTTTTGTGGACATGAAGGAGAGTTGGAATGTCCCATGAAACAATTTTAACAATTCTTCTTACAGTTAACTGAAAGTTATAATTTTTCTGGATGAAATAGACTCTAGAAAACACATTCAAGCCATCATTCTTCAATCATAACATTTATTCATTATTGTAACACCAATATCAAGTGGAAACACAGCAAGTGAATCAACATCTATCAGGCTGTCATGGACCAACTAAGGATGCGGAGCAGGGTAATTTGGGTAAACCCAAATTAGACAGAAGAGAAGAATTTAAAATAAAAGTACCTTTATTTAAGGTTACATTACATCCATGGTGGTAAGGCCAAATAAAACAGAACAACACATTCTAGTGAGCTACCATTAGAAAACCAGTAAATAAATATAAGCAGAACTAATCAAAAGGTCAAGACACAGCTGGAAAAACCCAGGCGAAACTAATCAGACAATCACACAGGTGGGAAAACGAGAGACAAGGATTAAAAAGAAACATACCACAGGGGGGAAACACTTTTCAAAATAAAACAGGAAACACAAAGACACAGCATGACACCACCATATTTTTACAATTGAAACGGTGAAGGCACTTGTAAATGAGAAGGTATTCCATAATGTTAATACTTTTGTGTTTCTTCTCAACCTCGTTACCGAAGATTTCATTACTCTTCTTTTTTTTTCTTTTTACAAAATGACTGACAATGACAAAGAGCTTGGTTAGATAATGATGAAATTTGATTCATACCATCTACAGTACCATCCATCCATACGGCCATCCATCTATCCATAATGTATTATGTCATTTTGCACCCTGCCTCTTTTTCTTCTATACAAAAAGGGTAACATTTGGATGGATCTTTGAAGATTATAATTTGATATTTGGTTTCATTGATGTTCAACTAAACTGATACAAAAGATGAATTGCAAGTGTGCATTTTGTCCACCAGGGGGAGAAAGTGTATTTTGAGCTCAACACAAAGGGGGCGACTCCCCATTCATAACACTGAGATGTTCAGTAGTAGGTTAACTCTCTTAATGAATTCATTCAGTTTAGTAGGACATTTGTATTCTTCGTATTCTTTTGGCTATTTAACTGAGTTTCTGTCTTAATTATTTTAATGTTTTTTTGTAAAGTACTTTGAATTGTCTTGTGTTAAAATTTGCTATATAAATACATGTATATAGCACATTTTAAGCTGTGTGTTTTAGGGTCATTCAGCAAGCTTTTAACTGGCAAGTTACTAATTAATATCATGACTAAGCTGACATGCGCTTTCAGTCACATGAGAGGGGAACTTTGGTCATAAACGTACGGAATGCCTCTACGCCCTGAAATAGCTTAAAACTTGAAGTCACTTGAGGCCCTATTGAGATTGCATACTGAAAATGTAAATGATATCAGATAAATATGTGCAGTTTAACCTTTTATCGATATATAATGAATGTGTCAATCAGAGCCTTCTATCTGCAACTTCTCAGTACAGGACATGAACAGATGCAATTTAAAACATTACCAATGGCCTCGTTCCAGCCAGTTGTACTACAAGCATGCCAGGATTTATGAAAACAATGTCCTTGTCTTGCAACAACACAATGGAATCAAGCCATTATTATTGTAATCATATTAGTTGCACCTGCATTTGGGTTAGGGTTAGGGTTAACCCATTTGACAATACAAATTGCCAACTGTAGACAAGGCTACCAAAAAAGCAGATGTGCCAGAAGATTGATTAGCTACAGACAAAAAAACAAGAAAGTGTACTAGCTTCTAAGATGCCATGATGGAAAGTAAATGTAACCATAGCAGGCAGGTAGTCATGTCAAGTCAAGTTTAGGTATGAAAGGAATTATATGACATTTTGTGACTTTCCAAATATTAAATGATTCAACATTAAGGCTAACAAGTTTGAGATATTAGCTTAGCACAACGACTGGAAATAAGGGCAGCCAGGCAAGATAACCTCTAAATTTGAACGATGAAGCTTAAGCGTAATTTGCCAGAAATTAACAAACTAAGGTATCAACCCAGCTCTGTCTGATGGTAAAATAATCTGCATAACAGTTGTAAAGGCCAATGTTTGACATGTATCTCAGTTACTTCTTAGCTGGTTGCAGGGACTTCCTGGAGTTTTAAGTTATTAAATGATGGTCAGCGCAAGGTCTTTCAGGAAGAATGTCTCCTACACTCTCATTCACAAATCCTCTCTCACTCACTCGCCCTTTCTTTCAATAAGCAAGGGCGCAAGCAACATACCCCCAGCTAAACCAATCGGACCCGTCTCATCTCCCACAAGCCAATCACAGCACATCCGGCAAACGTTTAAATCTGCTCTTTTCTCCCCTGTCAGCATTGTTCAGGAGAATCGATGCAGACCTCCTCCACCTCCTTCACCTCCAGTTCATCAGCTCCAGGGCCAGGCCAAGCCCAGAAGAACCCTCATCACTCTAGATTTCTATTTCCCTTCAGCTCTTCACCACCACCAGTGTCTAGACCCCGGGGGGTAAATCCATCACAGCACGATGGGTTTTTTAGGATTCCTAAAGCAGAATTTTGAAAAGAGGGCTAATTTTGTCAAAAGCACAATTCACACAGCCAAACACAGGAATTATACAAAGATTTACTTTTTTTTTTAAAAAGGTTTTGTCACCGTAATTTGGCCCTCACATGGTTCATACCATCCTTTTCTTTGCATTTCATTTCATTAAGCTGATGTTTTATCTAAAGAGACTTACATTTAGTACAATCAAATACTAATGAGGATACAAATTCAGATCAGCACAAATCCTGCAAGTACATTAGCTTCAAATCTTTTAAAGTTTTACAATAAATGTCAACTCTTGGAGCAGTTACAGACTTCTAAGTGTAATCTTAAACATACCTTCCTTTTATAAATTCTGTTTTTAAAAAAAAGAAATTATTGTAAGTACAAAAATATATTATACAAGCAAAAAACCAGTAACTGCAAGCTGCTGGAAATGTTTTCTCTCTCTCCACACAGTTTGCACTGCAATCAGAACAGAAGGTAATATAAATAGATTTAAGTGCATAAAAGTAGCAAAACCGTTAGTTGAGCCAAAAAAAACTGGCACACTCAACTTTTGCTTTTTAAAGTGCTTACGCCTGTGGTGAGTGAACAATTAAAGTGGACCTATCATGCTATATTATAATAATATAGTGTAGGACCATACCTATATAAGGCATATTTATACTTTTTTTTTTTCAAAATACCAAACAGATCATGCATTTTAGCCATGCCTCATTTCGCTCAATTTGCACTTTTTTAGCTCTGTTTTTGCAAGGGCTGATTCTGTGAGAACAGCACCACCTACAGGCCTGGCATATGTACTACAGCGTCTCCAGCGCTTTCGAACGGCATTGGCCGTGGCTGTCTCCTCCTGATTGGTGGAGTTGGCCCAATAGCCGTAGCGCCACTGTCCTGACGTCAGGACAGTGTTCAAATCTGGATCAGTTTTTATCAGATCCGTTGCAGCCCCTTTTTTAGAGATTTGGGTATGGAGGAAAATAGAGAGGGTTGTGTTTTCTGACACTTGGTGAGTTCCCTGGAACACTGGGGACACATATTCATGTATAAAAGACGTACAAAAGTGCATTTTGCATGATAGGTCCCCTTTAATGTATGCACCTGAGAGTCTTAGCAGCTCGCTTCATCAACTGGTTTGTATAGGAGTATTTTGAAAGTCAATTCATTTTTGCATAAGTTATCAGTTAACAGAAGTTATCTCATTTTAGTCATAAAGAGCACATGTAGACCAAACTCTTCAAGAAAAAGAGGTTAAAGAAGTACTCAGATGAAAGTAAAAGTAGTAACACTACAGTGTAGAAATACTTTTACCTAAGTAAAATTACAAAGGTAATAGCATCAAAATATACTTAAAGTACCACAACTAGAAGTACCCATGTGAAAAATGGCCATTTTCGTAGAAATATGTATCACTGGATTATAATAATCGATCCATTAATGTGTACATCTTTTTTAAATTTACATCTGGTAAAGTGTGAGCTAACTTCAATTGCCTTTTAAACTGCCAGGTATTCATTTATTTTTTGCATCAATTATATGAACCTGCAAAGTAACTACTGATCAATCTTGTTTAATAAATGTAGGCTAGTAAAACATTTATGGCCTCCAAATTGTAGTGGCATAGAAGTAGGGAGTAGCCTAAAATGGAAGTACTCAAGCAGGGTTAGGGTTAGGGTTAATAACGTGTGAGGGGCACAGCTTTGCTCCTTTAGTGTTAGTTCTCAATATTTCCTCTTTAAGAGTCGTCTTAATGTGTTAGCTATTGAAAAAAAACTGAAGCGGCTACAGTAGTAGTATCAACCCTCTTGTCTAACTCCAGAAGCCACAACAGAAAGGAAAGCAAATAAAGTGTATTTCCCAAAATGTCAATCTAGTCCTTTAAATTCAAGCAACATGTTTTAGCGGAACATTTTCAGGTGTATTACTGAAAGACAAAGATCAGCAGGCTTGTGTCAGTGAACGTCTCATTGAGAAGAGGCAGCGTTCGTTGTGGCCTATCTAAGAGGCTCAGCATAGTGTGTGGATGACGCTATCCTTACAATCACAGAAACCCCATTATCACTACACACTGACATCACTCAGCCTTCCACAGCAGCAACGCAACACCCATCCACAGCTCACACCCCCCCACCCCCCACCCACCCGCCTAAAGCAGCACAGTCATTGTGTTCTCCGGTCAGCCCATTGTCTGTGCGGGGGAATGCGGGACAATGTCGCCAATCTCTGTCCAAACCATGATCCTACACTGCTATTGTGACCTGTCTTTTTCCCCAGTTAACCAGTCAAGATGGTGTCCCCGTCTGATGAGAGGAGAAGGGGGGGGGGGTCCTCTGTCCTGCCTGGTACTGGGGAAAAGAGGGCAAAGATTATAAATCTGTGATGCTAGTACAGTGACTGTTGATCGTAAGAAGACATGTGGACGTGGTACATTCACTGTACCAAGCCTGAGTGTCAACACCATCATTCTCTCTTCACAGAGTGAGTATTACACAGTGGAGGTCAAGGCTGAGGGTCGTTATCGTCAGGATCATTCTTCCATCTACTCTGAGAAGAAGGCCATCCCTGAGAGGAGCTTGATCAAATGAGATTCACCCCCTCACCATTGGAGCTGGATTATTTCTTCATGAAAATCATATTTTTTACAGAATGAAGCAAGAAGGACAAACTACTTGAGCATTTTCTGAAGGCACTATTGTAATGCTTTGACAAAGGTTGCATGATGGGAGGCAGATGGAGGAAAGCGGGAGATGTCACTCATCTAACACCAAGTGGGTCTCCACAGAAGCCAGAGAACAGTTATATAAGACAAGGTGTCATGTTCTTCTTACAGCTTGAAATCGTCCCCTAACATGCAGACCTTCTACCAGCCCCGCCACATCATCCGTCACCCCCCAGCTCTCTACCTCGACCCCACACTGATGCAGCGGCGTGTCCTGGAAGATCAAGTGGAGCTGTGGTGGTTCAGAGAGCCCCGTCGATCCTTACTGTGCTACCTTGCCTCTGTGGCCCTTATAATGGGGCTGGGGCTGGGTGGCGTTGGCCTCCTCTCCACCACCACCAGCCTGTCCGGGGAATGGCGCCTCTGGGTGGGCACTACCCTCTGCCTCCTGGCTCTGGCTGTTCTTCTCAAGCTTCTTCTCAGTTCTGCCATCCAGGACATGAACTGTGTGCACAGCTGGCGTCGGATCGACCAGCTGAAGAGCGGGGGGAGGGCCGACCCCGCGCTGATGTTGGCCGTGGGGCTGGCAGTGATGATTTGTGGGACGGTGCTTCTCTGCATGGCAACAATTGGCAGCCAAAGTCACGACAGCAAGGAAATGTTTGTGTCCAGTCTGGTGTTGATGGCTGCCGGGGCGGGCATGGCTCTAGCTGTGGTCGCCTACAACGTGGTGTTATACGTTGAAAGAAGAAGGGAGCAGAGGAGGAGGATGATGATGAGGATGAACAGAGCGAGGGCGCTGGGGAGTCGGACTGTCAGGGTGTTCAGCGTCTCAGGAGGCCCGGCCAGGAGAGAGATTTCCTCCAGCAGGACCAGCCTTATCTGAAGGACTAATGGGCAAAATCACAAAAAAACAAAACTGATTTAGTTCCTTTGAAAGGACTGATCAGAATACATTTGTCCAGCGGGCTTTCAAACAACTAAATAAAGAAATACATTAAGGATTATTTGGTTCTATAGCTCTAGAGATCAATTCAGTCATTTTCCATATGCATACAATATTGTAATTTTGATCATTAAAAGTATACCTCCAAATAAGCTGCAGCACTGCATGCTTTAAAGAATGGCTACATTTTGAGGAAAACGTTTGAAACATGATTACATGAGTACTTACGGTTGAAAATAAAGAGTCAGTAAGGTGTTCAAATCAAATAAACAACTATTTCTGTGTTGGATTCTCTGTATGTTTTTCTACAATTGACTCAAAGAACAGTTTTGTTATTTTGTAATCTCACAACTGTTGAGATGCCTTCTGTGAAAAAGATTTCTGGCTTCGTGTTATTTTTTCAGGAGTATACCGACCAACTGGAAAAGCACAGGTGTGTTTCTCTTGCTGGTACTGCATGTTCCACTTGTATTTTTTACTGCTATTCTATGTTTTACAAATGAAAAACCACAAAGGATCCTAAAATTCCTCATATTAAAAAGAGTCATAATTCACCTTATACTATTATATAATGTTGGTCTAATGGGAAATATTTTTTAGCTTGTAGGGGGTATTTTTTTCAATCTAGAAATGAAAGACTGTCTATGATTTGAAAGCATTTTATTTTTTAGGTTTTACAGCAGAGATTCAAAACTTTTATTTTCTAGTTGTGGCAAGTGTGACTTTTTATGCACTCCTCAGTTGTAGCTCTCAGTGGGGAATGAGAGCACATTTTCAGAAGTCTATTCTGTCCTGACTGTCGGCTGACCTGGCACCTGTGTCAATATTAACATCTGGTGAGCGGTGCATCTTGATGTTTTGATGCAAACCATTGCATACACCTATTGTTAGCGTTTATCTAGAAGAGCTGCCCGAGACTTTGATGTTCTGTATCATTTCCAATAAATAAACCACATCTAACATTCCCTTCTAACCAAGCTAGTTAATGTAAGCGTAGCATAGCTGCTCTGCTGGATGTTTGCATTAATGTCAGCAGGTAGTCTTTTTGATTTAATAACTAGTTTTTCTGCTCTCTTTCGACCACATAGCGTCCTCTTTCGTCCTCTGCGCCAAAATCATCTTTAAGACCCCAACCGGTGGAACCAAATGTCCATCTAATGCTAACTATTGTACCATGGCTCATTATTGATTAATGGCCCACTAAAATAACACGCTTTCAATTTGTTATTGTTATTTTATCATTTTAAACTCATTTTGATTGTATTGTTCAAAATTGCACAATAAATGTTCTTTTTGTGCAGTGATGATTGATTCTACAATGGTACAATATTGTGTTTCATATGGCACAAACTAAAAGTATACTGAAAACTGATGTTCTTAGTTTGAAATACAGTAACTGGATAAATCATTTAGTGAATTGCCTACTTAATTTGACAACAGACATATTACAATTCACGGTTCACGAGTCAATGAATGAATACGCATTGGAATTGTAAAGAATATATTCATACAGTAAATGATTTTAGACAACACTGTACATAGAAATGCATAGAAATATTTGTTGCTATTTTACATGAATGCAGGTTCCTGCCTAACACACAGATTGGATACTAATTACATTAAATCTGTAACTTTCTGCACATACAACTAATGAAAAAGTGTCAAGTTGTTTTACCTCTTTTTTGTTAATTCATTGCCAACATATAATCAACCACCCACCTACTTTCAATATGAATAAAAGATTACTAAATGACTAACAACACTACAAGTGATTCGCAGGTGGTATTACAATTACTAATAAGCAGAGTACAAACAGCAGCTTCCAACTGTTTAGAAAAGGATATACAAACAATACATTTATTTTCAAAGCATTACAATTTTCAGCTTTAATTGGGACTTGATCTCTGCATACAAGGAAAATAAATGGAGATTCATTTAAAGGTAACATTTTGATTTACCAGATCGTCTTAGGAATAGCTTGCACAACAAAGGGCAACGTATATAGTATATGAAAAGATGAACAAAGATGACGTCCAACGTGGACCCAGTGCAGTCAAAACAATGCCTGTCCCAGTAGAATAAAGGTTTATGTTATATATTACACTGTGCATATAATCTCTTCTTTTTTGCTTCACTGAATTGGCAATCCTGCACCCAGCCTTTGGATACAACTACTCAAATTAACTCAAAGAAAGGCAGTAACATCCTTCAAAAACTTCAATTTAGTTCAGTCTTGTTATAACTATCATCATATCATACTATTAAAATGTGCTGATTTTGTACACAAGTCCAATTGTTATTGCAGCTTTGGAAGTTTTGAGGCAAATGGGGCTCATTCAGTTTTGACATTTATTAGTTTTCGGCTCAGTACTCCTCGAAGGTCAGAAGATAATATAAGGGCCCAAAATGACTTTCCTCGTGCCATAGTGCTTCCCTAGATTAATTTGAAAGGTCAAGAGCTAGGAAGGTTCCGAATCAGAGCTATACTTCTGACTTTCAATCAAAATCTTCTCTATAGAGTCCTTTATCTGAGTTGTAAAGCCGCTTTTCTGATGAAGTCTCCCTCTATCCAATCATGCTATAGTGAACTGAAGATCATCGTCGCTGTCTTCTATCCCTTCCTCCTCCTCCTCCTCCTCTCTCTCCCTCTCTGCCCTGTGTTTCTCACTGGCCTGGATATAGTTATCCTCGATGAAGCCATCATCATCGTCATCCAAACCCCTCGGATCCCCCCCAGACCCCTCTCTTATTCTACCCATCACACTGTGAGGGTAGGGCAGCTCGTCCTGACCGTACTGGCTAACCCCGTCGGCTTCTTGGAGCAGAGAATGTCTGTAGCTGGCCAAGAAGCGATGGAAGAGACGAAACTTGACGGTCATCACGATGAGGAGCGAGATAGTGAGGGCTGTGCCGAGGCCCGCGGCCATATAGGACCAATCCAACGACTTTGTGCCCTCGTCTGGATCATCCGTCTCTGGGAACACAGCAGGAAACAAACTTTATTGCATCTATGTTAACACTTAAAATTGTTTCCTGTCCCTTGAATGTTATAGAGTTCAAAGTTCTTGAACACACCTGGTTGTAAATAGTTACATGATGGTAACGTTTTTGAAATACTTACTTAGTCTTTCAGTACTGTTAATGGAAGGGTCATTTTCTTCTTTGTGTTCCCCGACATCAGATATAGTAGCCAGATGTACCTCTCTGATGAAAGCTCCACTAACACAGAACAGCACAAAGAGGCTGCAGCTCCACAAGCCCATCTCTGCTTTCTGATGGAAAACGTGAAGAAATAACGTGATTACTGAAGATCATGAGAGGGTTTTGGGAGAGGCTTAAACTAATTCAGTTAATTTGGGGGTACAGAATTCCCTTTTGTGTAACCCTATCTCCTAAAAATCACGTCCATACAGCAAAACGTCATTCTCAATTACAATCCTCCCAGATTACAGTCGCCGTTAGTAAGCTTAGTTAGAAACATTTAAATAAAAACAGGTTGATATGTTCAGTAAAAGATCATGGTTTAGGTTAAATAACTATGTTTGTACTTCACTAAAGTCACATGCGTAAGTGGACTGTAGACGAATGTTATGAACGTTACAAACTCCTCCCTATGTGGACTTTGTTTAGAAACAAATTTGTGATAGGCTACTGCTAAAAAACAACCCGTGTTCGAGAGCAATTTAGCTTCCCTCGAAACATAATGAGAATGCATTTCTGTTCCATGGAAACATTTTATGAGACCAGCCCATTTTGTGTTACTACCCTTCAGATCATCAAGGAAAAACATAGCTGGAAATCTGCCAAAATAGGACTTGATTCTCAATTAGTAAGAATGCATTTCAAGGCCAAATGGGGAGGTAATATTATCCCCTATCACTTATATTGCATTAAGTATGGAAGGAAGTAGCAATAACAGCAACCAAATAACCTTTAATGTACATAAATATGAGATTGTCAGTTCATTCTTTGAAAAGGGGGAACCCATCCCTAAAGTAAAGGCTGATGGGACATCCCAACACTTGCAGTGAGAAAGACATACTTCGTTTTTCAAATGTCATGGCCAATACACTTTTTATTGTTTTGCCACTATCATAAAGCTTTCCAACAACATTGGAATGTAAGACGGTATCTGTTTCTCAATTGTTTTTGTCTTTTCATCCTATTTTGATCTAGAAGATTTGATTCAACACTACAAAATGATACAGCACCAGTGTCGTAATCACCATTTAATGATGAACTAAATCCCCCAAATATATGCAACCAACACTCTCCAGTGTGCTGTGATGATCATTGTTTGTGTAATATTAGCTAACAGGTGCCTTTAAACAGCCAATACTCACAGCTCTTTTGGTTCTGGGAAGGACTTTCTAACAAACAATTTCACCTGAACCAAAATCATACCTAAAATATTGACATTAAATAGTCCCTGCCTTCTCACAGAGAAACTGTCACATGATGTTTGGTAGTTAACGTGCCTGGTCTAGAGCAATGTTCATGATTATAGTCTTGAACTGCTTACTTATTAACTTTGAACATAGCATATTCCAGAGGAGGAAATACACTGTAAATACTGTATATTTCTGCTAAAGTTATATCATTTCGCACAAGGTAGCTGTATCTCAATTGACCACTGGTCATATAACAACAACAGACCCAAATAATGTCCAACCTTTGTCACAGAGGAACACATACAGCAGTAACCCTTCATTTTAAACAATCTACAACAACACAAACAAGTCTAAAAGGACTTACCTGTAGAAAATATGATAACCAACAGAGTAATTCTCCTAGACCTGACTTTAAACTGCTGTTTTCGTCTTCCTCTTCAGCTCTGAAAGAAAATAATAGGAGACTTCCTGGGCAAAGGTTGCAGGACATACCATAATACCACCCTCCCTGCTCCATGCCCTTAAGACAGAGATGTTAATGAGTAACTTTATTTAGTGGGAATGCTGATACAGCATTCCAACTATCTGTTATACGCACGAAATTCTTTATTATTCCGCCGGGTTATTTTGCACCTCTTCTTCTCCCACATTCCACATCGCAGAAACTCCGTTCAAACATCAAAACGTTCAGCTCGGTCGGGAAATCGATGGCTATTACAGTACTTTTCTTATTCGTAACTTTCATAATTCCAGAGATACATCCCATAATTCATCACATTTTTAACATGGAAGTCAATGGAGAAACTCTTCAGACTTGAACAATCTTCATGCAACTTCAACTGCTAACTGCTCCTTCATACTTTCACTCAGAAACCTCATTCCAACTTTAAAATGTTAGACATCTTTCTGACATGATTCGTGTAGCACAACTTTTAAATCTGATTCGTACTTTTAGAGATATTAAACATTGTTCAGACCTTGGTAAAGAGGCCTTCTTCAGATGTTAGAGTGCGTGATGTCACAGCTAGAGTGGAGGACAGATTTCATTTTGCCTTCATATTTTCTTTTAAACCTGCCATAATTCCCAAACCCTACATTCCTGAGACATAATATTTCATGAGAAACGTAGGAAAACATCTCGTAGCTTGAAAAATAAAAAAAGGTTCAGCCTCATCTCTCCCCACCACAGCAGCCGCACACCTTTAGTTAATCTGCCAATAAGGCCACATTATTAACCCGAAAGTACACAAAAGGTACACTTCAGATGCTCAAGTTCCTTGACATGCTTCACGCTTTGAAATTTCACCGATATCTGTTACGGTTCTTCAACAAAACGTTCACATGTAAGAGGTTTATCTCTCATTCAGAACAATGAAAATGCTCTCCTCTCACTGATTACTGCACATCACCATGGAAACCTTTGATCTCTGGACACGGCGTTAGCTCAAATATAAACACCTGTCATGGAACACGATGATGTCATAACTCCAACTGACATGTTCAGAGCAGCAGACTTCAGATAATGGTTAACACAGCTCTACATCAAATCTGATGTTACGTAATGTGGTGTTACTATGGCAACGCAGCCCTCGCCATAAAACCAACCCGGTATCACGGCAAGACGTGAACATGTGACGATCTACCATGCTGGGAGACGTGAATATGTCACGGTTTCGTCCCTTCAAACGTGACAGTTACACGGTATTGTTAACATGGCCCAACCAGTGGAGAAATACCCGGAAGTGCCAAGCAAATGGTCTACCGCGCCTATTGGTCGGTTTTTATTGTCAAAATGAGATGTTTTTAATTTATTTTTTAATCATCACACTTGATTTCGCCGATTTTCTTGTTGCCCTAGCTGGTCGACACCTCTTTTAGCAGAAACAAAGGCTACATTAATGTATTAAATCGATGTTAATCCATGTGTGTGGAGGTGAGGATGTGGAATTAACGGACGTGACATTGTGTGATTGCGTTGCCAGGCAACGCAATTTACAAACTCTTCAACTACAACCCTAATTATATTTTAAAACATTTTTAGAAGGCCTCACGAAATACTTTAATGTAAATTAAAATGTAAATGTGAAGGGGTGTGTGTAATGTGGTGATTGACATTATTCACCCACGGATCTATGGGTTGGGGGTATTGTTCTGCACGGACATTTTAGTTAAACGGACTTACTGTTGATGTGAAATCCGAAAAAAAATACGTTATACACCATAACGGTGCACAGCTGATATAAAAGGACTTGTCGTTTTTAAAGATATTACTGATTTTCTTTGAATATAAGAATGTAAATACTGAGTTGAGAGAATAGTCAGGGGATTTGGGTGATGGGAGACACATCTATGGATTCAGAATTTCAATAGCTTACTGTTAAATGACGGATATACCTTTTATTTCTGTGATGTTTTACAAATCAGATATTATAAGTCAAACATGTGAAATAATATAGCAATATCCTGTACAATTATGTGAAAACATGAATAAAACTACACATCTTCAGATGTTATACATACACAAGTGTCCTACACTAATAATACAAAGTTATTATGGCTGTGTGTACCTTGTGTGCACCGCCTAGTGGTTAAAGCACGTTATTGAATTAGTTGTGTATATGATATGTCAATGATCCTTAGAAAATCTTGAAATCTTGAAAGGGATATGCAAAATAGCCATTATATACAGTCTTTAACTATTAGTAGAGAATAACGAGTAATGAATATACTTTATAGGGATCTGCAGATAAATGTTTAGTCTTCTCAAGCAGCAACTATCAAATATCTCTCCTGATTGTTGGCACTTGACAATCACCTTTCCCTGAATTTTACTCAGGTGTAACTAAAGCCTGATTTAAGGGTTGTTTATATTTCACATCATTAATCAGAATCTGCAAAGTAACTAAAATAAATGTAGTGGAGTAAAAATACCAGGTTAACCTCTGAATTGTAGTGGAGTAGAATTGCTGTTTTGTTTAGTAATGGATATTGAATATGGAATAAAGGTTTTGACAAGACCTGGTGTAACAATAATCAAAAAGGACATTAAGCTCCAGATGTCAATGATCTAAACAAAACAGCACACCTGAAATGTATTAAATACTTTATTAAGGGCAGTGAATTAGGTTTTTCTGTATGTTTTTCAAATCAGTGTTATACAGTAAGTGTCATAGACAGTGTTACATTGATATTATTATCCTTAAAATATATATAAAACAAAACCATTTATGATCTTTCTTTTTGGGTGGTTTACTAATGACAGTTAATTCTGTTTCTGCTATTGATGGTTTCATTTTTGTGAAAAATAATAAAATAATAAAATTCAATAACGTGCTTTAACCACTAGATGTGCCTTTCTATCAGCTGTGCACCGTTATGGTGTAAATACAGCCTATCTACCAATTGGATCAAATATAAAAGTCAGCCGAATTAGTATTGATACTGCAAGGAGACGTATTGTGTGAAAATAAATGTAAGGTGTGGTTTAATTGCTGATATATTTATGATCCACGTCACGTTTTCAGTTTTGGCGGCAGTGCTTCCTGTTTGTCCAGAAGTCTTCTCATCAGGGCTCTATAAATACAGAACTACGGCAGATATGTCATATTTAATGCAGCCAAACCGTGTATTACAATGCCGTTATGTGATGACCTCCAAAGAGAAAAGCAAGCAAACTCGGAATAAAGTATTATTTTATTTTTTTTAAATGTTTTCGGATTTCACATCAACAGGAGTCCGGTTAACTAAAATGTCCGTGCGGAACAATACCCCCAACCCATAGATCCGTGGGTGAATAATGTCAATCACCACATTACACACATTCCTTCACATTTACATTTTAATTTACATTAAAGTATTTTGTGAGGCTGTCTAAAATGTTTTTAAATATAATTAGGGTTGTAGTTGAAGAGTTTGTAAATTGCGTTGCCTGGCAACGCAATCGCACAACGTCACGTCCGTTAAGGCGAGACACGGCAGGCAAAAACATCGTTTTTCCTGCACTGGTCAATTTTGAGATTTTGTGCTATTTTGATTCCATAACATGTTTTCTTTCAGGCTTTTGGAAGGAAAACATACAAAATACACATTTAAGTGTTTATTTTACTATAGTTTGTCTATTTGTGTCTGTAGATTTCTCCTAAATTCACCAAAAGTTAGCATTCTAACGTAACATAAAGTACCGCGACCGCTGTTTGCACCATGTCAGAGATATTGTTGGAAAGCTCCGTGTCTCCTGCACAATCTCATCGGATCCAAATATGGTCATTTCCTTTGTATCAGCAACCAATCGTGAAAGTGCAAAGGGGTCTAAACCAAGAAACGAAATCTCATTGGCTGGTGTCAATTTCTGACAACGTGATTCGTTCAGATGCGTCACGTGGTGTGCTAAAGCACTTCCTGGTTAGCTTTCCGCTAGAAACTTAAATCTGAAAATGGCAAAATAACGGCGAAAAAAACGTTCACAGAGAAGACGACAACAATTGTCACTTGCACAAAGCAAGGTTATACAAAAAACAAATGACCCCGAACATGAAATACTTTCAGGGAGTGCGTCGATGCGCAAGCTATCATCCAGATAACAGGAGGGTTTAGCTAGCGTCACACTGCAAATCTTTAAAGGTCGTTTTCTCAAAATGAGTTTTTTCTCCTACTCTGAGTTCGAAATTTCCACTTCAGTAGCAGTTACATACACCAAACCTTCCAGTTATATTCCTATCAATATTATGAAGGCTTTTACAGAAGGGTTTGGTCATATATAATTCATAGCCTGAATTATATAACATTGTATACCTAAAAACATGGTGAAAATTGATATTTTAGGGCTGTTGACAGTATTTTCTGATTTATGGAGTGATACAAAGAGATATCCAAAATCCCTTCTGTAAAAGCCTTAGATACTAATATGACTACAAAATGAAACAATAATTTTGATCCTGGCTTTATCCAAAATTCAGATTTCGATTCCTGAAATGTGTTAAAATATGCCCATATTTCATGAGTTAATGGCTCATTTGCATATTTAAACATGCTATTTCAGAAAACTTGTAATACAAAAAACAATTGCCTTATTGTAAGTAATTAACTGGAGAAATTTCTAGCTGATATCTTTAAGTTAAAAAAATTACCCTATTCACCTGGGGTGTCTCGCCTTAATTCCACATCCTCACCTCCACACACATGGATTAACATAGATTTAATACATTAATGTAGCCTTTGTTTCTGCTAAAAGAGGTGTCGACCAGCTAGGACAACAAGAAAATCGGCAAAATCGAGTGTGACGATTAAAAAATAAATTAAAAACATCTAATTTTGACAATAAAAACCGACCAATAGGCGCGGTAGACCATTTGCTAGGCACTTCCGGGTATTTCTCCACTGGTTGGGCCATGTTAACAATACCGTGTAACTGTCACGTTTGAAGGGACGAAACCGTGACATATTCACGTCTCCCAGCATGGTAGATCGTCACATGTTCACGTCTTGCCGTGATACCGGGTTGCATAAAACAGCAGCAGAGTTCAGATAATGGTTAATGGTCCTGCCCTCAACAGCTCTACGTCAATTATGGGGTGTCATCATATGCCGTTTCCATGGAAACGCATCCCTCGCCATAAAACACGATGCCGCTGTAACTCCAATGGACACGGTCCGATCGTCCCCTAAACTTCGCTTGTATATCACCGGTCCATGCCTCAACAGCTCTACGCCAAATCTGAGATCTGACCATAGGCTGTTTCCATGGAAACGCATCCCTAGCCAAAACACACGATGATGTCGTAACTGATATGAAAATGGTCAAAACACCACCAGACTTCAGATGACAGTTAATGGTCCAGCCCTCAACATGTCTATGTGCCATTAGTGAGTTTTCCTCAAAAGCTGTTGCCATGGCAACGCATCCCTTGCAATAAAACACGATATTGCTATAACTCCTATGAAAATTGTCAAAAAGTGCTAAAACTTCACATGTGTGCTAACAGTCCAGCCGTGAAGACATCTACGGGACAGTTTTGAGATTTCTTCAAATGCCGTTGCCATGGCAACACAATGCTCGCCATGAAACACGGTTATCTCATAATTTCAGTGAAAATGCTGCAGCCCAAATCTAAATTCTTCACTTTCTTCTTACACATTACATTTCAGCATAGCAATTCAGCGTCAGCTTTTCAGCATAAAGCATTCCCACTAGCAATTTCTTCAGGAATTGCATTCTCTAGTTAGGTTTGTCATCCATTTCCTTTTCACTATTCCAGTCAGTAGTGAATGTAAATGCGTTTTTATCTTCATTTAGTATCTTAATAGTGAGTGAAACCGTTTAAATGTACTATTTCTAAATAGAGGTCAATCATTATAAATTCAGGACAAAAAAGACCATGGCTGTATTTAAAGTAAATGGTGCATCTATACTCAAAGGCCAGATTTATTATGGAAGATCAATTCTGTCAATGGATTTCTTTCTCATATAAAGCCTATGGACTAGGTGTGGATTAAACGTAGCTGAGACGAGGGAAGCTTTAAAAGCACATACTTTATTAAAAAAGGACTTAATCTGATTTATTATTAAAGCGCACTCAATGCCATCTTCTCTCACCCTTTGGCAGTGGTGAACCGTCAGGGCCTTCAAGGTATTCAGAGAATACCCTGAAAAACTCAGATAAAACCAACAAAAAATCGATTTACTTATATAAATAACATTTTATAAAATGTAAATAATAAAATAATAAAATGTTAATAAATGAGGATCGTATCTGTGTTGTTGATCTGTAATATTACAGTGTTACGTTGATTTTGTTTGTCCTTCTCAGTCCATGCACTACGCATTTGTGTGTGTGTCTACAGAAGGTCCAGTTGTGATAGACACGGTTCTCCACTGCCCTTTGGAATAAATAAATATGTGTGTCCCGGGCCATAAATGCAATTATGCTGTCAGTTTTCAGATAAAGCCACGGCATCACAATTCTTCTGTATTCTACAATATAGTTATTTTCACCTCCCGTATTGCTTTCAACCCACCAGCTTTTATGGAGAAAATAAGTTATATAATAATTAACCAGAGGCTTGTTTCTCACTATTTTATGCATAGAAACAACAGGCTACTGTGTGTGTGAGGAATCAGCTGTTTATTTCATATGAGTTCCATTGTGGCAGCGTCCATCACTGTTCTCCCTGGTTGCAATACACAAAGACAGCTAACTGTAAGCTTGTCACTCAGAGGGGGGTGGGGGTTGGTGAACGGTATGGTCAATGTTTGTTTGTTTAAAAATGTTTGCAGTTGTGAAAGGTCTAAGCCAGGGGTGTCAAACTCAATTTCATCGCGGGCCACATTCGCATAAAGGTTGCACTCAAAGGGCCGGTTGTAACTATATAAATATATAATATATATATATAAAAGAATGTATTATATTACATTATTGCCTCTGAATTGGATTATTATCGGATAGGATAATAACTTAGTTAACTACGTCTGAAAGCAGAAGTCCAGGGCAAATAATTGCAAGTCTCTTCAGTGCGCATGTCACAAAACGAGATGCATTGTGGGACATGTAGTTTATGGGCAACCTGCTTATTTAAAGTGGCATGTAACCAGTGGCGTTTTTATATGTACAAAAGTGGTGGGGCACAAAAAACGTAGATGTCTATATATAAGCTTCTGCAGTGACGTGCAGTGAGGTTCATGGCTGCTGAGGCACTGGCACTGACTCTTCAGGTTTACAAATATTATATTTTGACCTAAACCAAAATATAATATTATTTTCAAAAGCTTTTTTTGTCTGATGCTTCGATTAATTTTAAACAGACAGTTCAACAAAAGGATACCCAAAAAATGTAATTTTATCATTTAAATATTGAATTGTTCTCTCTTAGTAAGATCCCATTTTCAATCAAATTGCGGTCTTACCTTGACTTGAAGATGAAGTCCATTTGCCTATCCTTCTGGACAAAAATGTCTATAACTTTTTTGTAAAAGTCCTCCTTATGTTCTTGTAGTTTCAAAAGTCTATCATAAATGTAATCCATAGATTTATGATAAAAAAATTATAAAAGTAGGGTAGACATGTGGATGTTATCCGGCTGATCAAAACGTGCATTTATCTAACAGGTACGTTTCCCACAGATCTTATTTCCAGCTATTTTCTAAAATCCTCTGGAGAAATCTCATTGCTTTTTTGTCGAGGGAAGCCATGCGCAGCTTACTTCCTGGTTTTAGGACGCGTCACTGCAGCTCTCTCGTCTCCTCTTCACACACCACACTTTTCGCGGCACACGTACTTACAGCCAATCAGCTCTGAATGATTTGAGATGACGTATGGTGGGGATGGTAGCTCCATGCCCCTCTGGTCATTATTTTTTTGCCACACACATTTCATTACAAAATACTCTGAGCATGCGCAGTGTAGTTTTTACAGTCACCGTTGACTTCACAGCGAGAGGGAGGGGCATAATCAGGTTTTGTCCCACATGGCTCTAAACAGCTCAATAGGCACACACTGTGACTGTAGACACACTAATTAGAAGAACACAGACTAAAACAGCAATGTACAGACGAATCAGATGATTAAACATGATCTTAAAATATATTTTATATATTTTTTTATTTTTTTTTTTGCATTTTTGTAATCATTATTTGTAATACTTTCTGCTGACACTAGGTGGGGCTAGTGTGACAGTGATCAGCTGTCTGCGGGAGAGAAGAAGAGACAGATCACTGCATAAATATGCAAGCCCAAATCTACAGTTAACTTTACTGCTGGACAAGAGAGATCAGGGGGGGGGGGGAGAGCTGTGGCTGATGGGCCATTAGGTGTGTAAACAAAGAGAGTCACACACAGCTGATCACCTGAGAGCTGCCGTTTCATTCAGACTATTTAAAAAAAAAAACGGTCAGATTTTAACATTGCACAACAATGAACTCAATGTGTGATGGTTATACTGTAGCAGTAATATTAAACACTAATAATACATTAAACTATTAACAATAGTATAATATTATAGCCCGTTTGCCCATGGTGAGATGACGAGGCTCCATTAAAAATAAACCTCTTTTTAGTGAATTACTGAGTTTGGGCAAGTTAATAACGTTTTAATGAAGTTGACTACAGTATTCATATTTGTCAGTGCTTTCATGTCGATTCGGCGAACATAAACATAAATGATCGTGAAGATGATGATTAAATTATGATTAAAAATCGGTAGTGAGAGCCGTGCTGCATTTCCTCCCGTCGGATGTGATATAAAAACAAACCGATTATTTTTGTAGTTGTAAACTCACGTGGATTAAATTTATTTATTAGTGCTTTCATGTCAATTCGGCGAACATATGATACATTAAATGATCGTGAGGATGATGATTAAAAATCGTTTGTTTGAGCCTGGCTGCATTTCCTGATGAAAAAACAAACCGATGGTTTTGTAGTTGTAGTACGCCAACGTGGATTAAACAACATTATTTTGTTAAATAAAAACATGGTGATGTTTTAGCACAGAATATGATCCTATCCGTGACATATGGATCTTAACAAAGATCCGCTATCAGATACTATCAGCTGTTTATTTCACATGAGTTCCAGTGTGGCAGCTTTTTAATCACTGCTCCCCCTGGTGGATCCATTGCAGCTGGTTTCATTATAATTTAATTTATTTAAACTTCACATGTGTGCTAACACAGGGGTTCCCAAACTGAGATGAGATTATGGCTCATTTGCATTGCATTTGTGCCCCTACAAATAGAATACAATTCTGTGGGAAACACTGGATAATAACAATAATTTAAAAAATAATAATTTTTAAATTTTTAATAATGTTTTATAATTTTTTTTTTTTTAATAATTTTTAAATTTTTAATGATTTTTAAATTTTTAATAATTTTTAATTTTTAATCATGTCGCGATCTTTGGGAACCCCTGTGCTAACAGTCCAGCCGTGAAGACATCTACGTGACAGTTTTGAGATTTCTTCAAATGCCATTGCCATGGCAACACAATGCTCACCATGAAACACGGTTTTCTCATAACTTCAGTGAAAATGCTCCAAATGGCCCAAAACTTCACAGGTTTGGTAACGATGCAGCCATCTAAGCGTATTACGGGGTTTCATCAAATGCCGTTACCATAACTCGCCATCAAGTAAGTTCAAAAGTTTGCAGTTAAAATATGCTGCTGCTTTTCAAAGTCTTTTTACTTTCTTTTCTCTTCTTAATACACATTCATTCACTACTACTTACATGTAATATCTAACTCCTCCATTGAGGCTATGCATTTAGTTGTTTATACCTTTTAAAACATTTTTCTTTTAAATATTAAGCTTCTTCACAATCCGTGTATCTATCGTCCAATTGTTTTTCTTTATTAAACAAGTAAACGGAAGAGCGTCTGAGAGACGTTTTTGCTTTTTGCTTTTTACCTTACTAAATGGTCTAATGGTCGTTGGGGCGAGGGGCGGGGGGAAACTCACGGAAGTGATTTCAAAGCAAAAGCACTCGTGTGCTTGGAACCAATAGTATGAAGCTGCAGGCTCGGAGGCTGCACTCTCAGGACCACACTCTCAAGACCACACTCTCAGGACCCTAGTTGTTTTGCAACATCGCCACCTAGCGGATTGGATGACCGCAAAAGTACAACCAGCGAGTAGAGTCTCATACACTGCGAGTCTCTTTAGACATTGTAATGCTTGTTATTAACCATCTAAAAATGCATGAAAATATGTTTTTCTTACTGAAATTACATTATTATTATTATTAACAACAAGTTGTTGTTAATATGTTTTTGATTTTTAATAACAAATGTATTTTGTATGTCAGATGTAAAAAGATAGTCTTTTATATTTGTCTTATCAAATTTGACATACAACATAAATATATATATATATATTGTAGTAATAATGATATAATCTATTTATAATTGTAAATGTATATTGTATGTAGACATACATTTAGATGTATATTTTGTTAAAAGAAAACTGTTAATTTAGTTTTTGGGAGAAGGGGTGGGGTTAAATAAGTGTAAACTCCTTTGAATCAATTTGATACTGCTTATGTTTCTACAGTATCATAATTCTCTTGTTTCATTTCATTATTATATATATATTTTTTATTGTATTACACGTTCGAAATAAATCAAATCAAATGTGTCTTTGAAGAGGTGCTAGATTACTCAAAAACAACTGTTAGTGTGTTTATGCACCAGGCTGCAAAAGATAAACATGCAATTTGACGAGAGGAATTTCAGTGCAGAATACATTTTTATTTATTGGGCACTGTGGATTCTTCACTGGGGTGAGGCGGGGTCTGCTGTTCCCTCAACCACCAGACAACAGCTCCAGCTGCAGTACCCCGGGAAGCCCCCTTCTTGGATTGAAATATGCATCTTGAAAAAGAGAGAGCCTAATTGGTCAAACTGAACATTTTGAAATACTTTCACAGACAGACATAAATTAGGCCTAATTGTTAGATTCTGACACGACAGATTCTAACCTACAGAATAGGCCGACATAATAACTGACTAAAACACCTCATGCAATATTACAAAACATGTCAAAATGATGAGACTGTCTGATAAACAGTAAACAGGCAGTCAGCACAGTTAAGATTATTTACAATGAATTCAAATAGTAATACAATGACTATTAAAGAAGCATTTACACTGAAGACAGAACTTATATTAGGCTACTGCTGATTTAATGTAGCGGACAGACAGATCATATTGACATGCTTTTGTCATCCTTTGAAGTTTAATTAATTAGCTGACTATAATTAATGATCAGGGTTGGGAAGTTTACTTTTTTTAAATGTAGGTTACAGATGACTAATTACCCTGTTAAAAATGTAATACGTAATGTAACTGACTATGTAACTATTTGTATTGATAATCTAATGTTAATTATGGTTCTTTTATGTTTTTTGTGAGTCACTTTGGATAAAAGCCTCTGCTAAATAACATAACCATAACATACGGTTTCATTAAACAAATAAACAAAAAGGCTAACAGTTGGTTTTGCAGCGAGTCATCATAGGCTAACAGATGACATTTAGCTGTTAACTTTAAACAAACAACATGATTCATATTACTCACACTCTTACTGTAATTAGTGATTAAATCAACAATTAATGTAGGACACCTAGTTGGGCTTGCCAAAATCACGCTACAGTTTCATTAAACAAATAATCAAATATGCTAATGAAGCTAATGCTATTAGCATTAGCTTTTGCCGAAAGCTATAGCTAACAAATAATTGTTTTTAGTGCCTTTAATACTGTTAGAAGCTATCATAAGCTAACAGATGTTTGTTTGTATTGCCTTAATTAAGACTATCATAGTTAATGTTAGCTAATCACACTTCATTTCAAGACACCGGAATTGTTATTAATGTTAAACAAATAAAACTTTAAAAGCACTTCACACTACTCACACTCTCTGCGTTGTCGTTCATATTCATGTCTCCTGCTCACTAGGTGGCGATGTTGCAAAACAACTAGGGTCCTGAGAGTGTGGTCCTGAGAGTGTGGTCCTGAGAGTGCAGCCTCCGAGGCTGCAGCTTCATACTACTCCTTGGAACGGTGATAATATTATAAACAAGGGGAAACGAGGTGAATTTAGCGATCACAACTAAAACGGCCAAGACACATATTGAGCCCAGAAAATGAATGTTATTAAGGGCTGTAAATATAATAAGCCTATGTCTAAAATGGACAACATTGTTAGGAGATTTAAACTATACAGTGATTCTGCACTGCGGTCACTCAGCCGTCTCTCTCTTTTTTCAATTCAGCTGCTCTTCATTTTTTGTCCTGCTATATTTGATGATCGATACAAATATTTGTTATCATAAGTTCTTAATAAAACTGACACTGTTGGACTCGGTACTAGTTTGACTGCTACCAGAAATAAAATTATCACTTTTACTGTGTACTTACTTTGCGAATAATCCTC